CAGGGGACGCGGGAGGGCGCGAAAACCTTCCCCTCCCCGGCGCCCCAGCCAGGCCCTCGGCCGGGAGGTGGCCGGGAGGGAGGGAGGGAGGGACGTCCCTTCCGCGGGGGGCAACGCCACACAGAGGACCCCCGCTCCGGAGGGAACGGCTCCCTCCAGCCTGGAGACCAGCGGTCATCCAGGGAGGTCTCCGGCCGGGCCTCGCCTGGACCTTGCCAGCCCAGCAAGCGAGGGGGCGGCAGGGAAAGACCGGGTCCCGCGACCCTCGGGGACACTCGTCCGGGATGTGCGGTGGGGTCCCAGGACGCCCGCCGGCGAAGAGCCCGGCCAGAGCCCCGCCCGCCCCCGGGCTACAGGGTTCCCTGCACACGACGGCCTTCCTGTCCCTCGAGGAGGAGGAGGAGGAGGGGGGGGGGTTTCAATGGGAAGAAGAAGAAGAAGAAGAAGAAGCCTCTGTCCATTACTACTACTACTACTACTTCTTTTTTGCAATTTAATGTTTATTAATTTTTCCAAAGCGTAACAGAGCATAGTATTCTTGGGAAAGCATTTTTCATAGATTCAGACCAGTTCATAACAAAAGACAAAGAATTCTTGGAGAACAGGTGAGGTGCCAGAAGACTGGAGGCGGGCAAAGGTTGTCCACAACTTCAAGAAGGGGGGAAAGGAGGATCCAGCTCAGTATCAACCCACCAGCTTGACGTTTATCCCTGGGAAAGTTTTAGATTAAATAAACAGTCAGTCAGTCCTTGAGCATTTGGAAAGGATGGCCAGCCTGGGTTTCTTTCTTTCTTTCTTTCTCTCTCTCTCTCTCTCTCTCTCTCTCTCTCTCTCTCTCTCGCGCTCTCTCTCTCTCTCTCGCTCTCTCTCGCTCTCTCTCGCTCTCTCTCGCTCTCTCTCGCTCTCTCTCGCTCTCTCTCGCTCTCTCTCGCTCTCTCTCGCTCTCTCTCGCTCTCTCTCGCTCTCTCTCGCTCTCTCTCGCTCTCTCTCGCTCTCTCTCGCTCTCTCTCGCTCTCTCTCGCTCTCTCTCTCTCTCTCGAAAGTTACTACCTTGCTGGATCAGGGGAATGCTGTGGGCATAGTTTATCTTGATTTCAATAAGGCTTTTGATAAGGTTCCACATAATATTCTTGTTGACAAATTGGTAAAATGTGGTTTGGATCCTATGACTGTTAAGTGGATCTGTAACTGGTTGACCCATCCCACCCAAAGAGTGCTTTTGAATGGTGTTCCTCATCCTCTTGGAGAGCAGTGACCAGAGGAGTGCCTCAGGGATCTGTCCCGGGACTTGTTTTGTTCAACATCTTTATCAGTGATTTGGATAAAAAAAATAGAGGGAATGCTTATTAAATTGCAAATTTGCAGACTGGGAGGGGTAGCAAATATGGCAGAAGTCAGGATACTGGATAATCTTGACAGGCTAGAAAACCGGGATAAAACAAATACAATTAATTTCAGCAGGGATAAATGTAAAATTCTGCATTTAGGTAGGAAAAATCAAATGCATAGTTATGGGATGGAGGAGACTTGTCTTGGCAGTAGTATGTGCAAAAAGGATGTAGGGTCTCAGTAAAGACCATACACTGAAACATGAGTCAGCAGTGTGATGCAGTAGCTAAAAAGGCAAATGCGATTTTGGGCTGTATCAGTGTCCAGATCACACAAAGTGACGGTATCGCTTTACTCTGCTCTGGTTGGACCTTGCCTACAGTATTGTGTTCAGTTTTGGGCCCCACAATTTAAGAAGGAAGTAGACAAGCTGGAACATGTGTCCAGAGGGAGGGCAACAAAGATGGGGAGGGGTCTAGAGATACCAAGTCCTGTGAGGATTTGGGGTCAGGAAGCCATTTTTCTCCAGGCCAGCCAGCTGAAGATCCTGGAGGTTGTTTTGCCATCTTCTGGGCGTGGAACAGGGGTCACTGTGGGGGGGTGTTGGGGGGGCATTTGTGAATTTCCTGCATTG